CCCCATTAGGTCCACCAATAGCTATTCGCCAGGATGGGCAGGGAGCGGTGTCCCTAGTCTGTGTCCTCTCCTCCCCCGAGCTAGTTCCACTGATAAATCAGTCCGCTCAAGGAAGACAGAAGATTGCAGGGAAGGATTTAAGTTCCAGGCGTCTCTGACCAAATTGATCCCTTTGTTTGAACCAGAAGACATAGACCAGGAATGAAACAGACTTGGTTGATTGTAAACATTACATTTTTAAAAAATGCCTTGACAGCATCCTTTCCACCTGAAAACCAACTAGCCAACCCCTTCCAAAGAAGCTGCCTGGAGATTAGACGGAAGAGGCGTTCATGGTCATCTCGAGCAGCTCAGAAAGCTAAATGACCTTCGGGCTCACTGCATGAAAACACGGCTCCCAGCCTGGGGTTGTTCGTCGCAGGGCAGCACATTCCAAAGGAAATCAATATTCCAAGTCTCTGCTTAGAAATTATAAACACGATGCCTAGAGAGGCAAGCCAGACCCCCCCGATAGATGGACATACAGAAAATCCATGTAAGAGCACAGCATCACGAAAGGCAGAGGAAAGAGGTGGAGTGTTTGGAGGTCCCCAAAAGGCACCTCCTTTTCTTGCACCTGGAGAATTCATACCTGCATTTTGCATGCACAGTTCAGTTGGTGGTGGAAGTGAGAGCCTCTGTGTCTCTAATGATGGTACCCAAAGCCGGGGGAAACAGGCAGTGAGTGTGAGCGCTGGTGCCTCCCACTCACACTCGTGCACTCAGTTCATTTGCACGGGGGCAAACATGGGGATCTGGCTGTGATATCCCTACCGATGCTGCAGAATCTCCCTGCTCTGTGACTAGCTAAATACAGGGGTATCACAAACTTGCCCCTTTCAGGGGCTAATTGCCACTCTCTCGCCAAGGAAGACGAAGGCATGAACTGCTGGGAAATCCCCCTATTGGTAGAGCCCTGCAATTCTGTGGGTACTCGCTTCATGTCCGCAGGTATTTGCATCCGTGGATGTGGAGGCGGATATCTGCGGCTCATCTTTGCGGCTGAGGACACAAGTTCTGTATCTGCAAATGACTCTAGCAACTGCAATTGTCTACATAGGCCGTCGGATGCAGGGGGTTCGCAGCGGGCCCTGGGGGAAGGATTCTGAAGGGTTGTTGTGGAGCCAGAGTGGGCCTGGGGAGGCTCCAGGTGTTTCCCATTTATAATGAACCCTGGTCACCAGGAGGCAGGATCATTTCACCCGTCTGCTTAGTAGCCCATTATGGCTGCAGTCGAACCGGCAGCTCCCCTGTCTGTGTCTCCAGAGGGCACGGGTACAAGCACCAAACCAAAGAAAGAAATGGATCCCACCCATCTCCCTGCCCAAATGCAAGGAGAGGCCAGGTGACCCCCATCTCAGTCGGACAGCCCTTGGCAATCAACACCCCCCGAGAGCTCTGTGCTTCTGACTGTAGCCCTTTGGGGGAACTCACTGCAATCGCCTCCCCTCACTAATTCTAATCCATTCGATGGCCAGTCATTGATCCTGGCAGCCTGTTTTGCAGAGGTGCTAAGGGCTCATCACTCCCACAGACATGGATGGGAGCTTTAGCTCTCCTGCATCTCTGACTGGGGAACAGGAATCATTCCAAGGGCCAGATGCTGCTCTCCATTCAATCCAGCATGGACACGTGTGCCGCTGGGAGCAGAACTGGGCCCCATCATAGAATCATAGGGCTGGAAGAGACCTCAGGTCTAGATCTCTCCAGCTTCTCTTTGCATCTCTGCCTTCCAGAAAACCTGCAGAACTAGAGCTGGGCCTTAGCCAAAACCTGTGATCCAAAGTGCACCACATTCTGGGGCCCTCTGGATTCCAGCCTGTCTAAAAACACAGCCATAAGAGTGTTCGCCATCCATAGGCCAGGAGCCAGAGTGAACCACAGGGTCCACCAGCCTCAGTAAAAAGTCCCCTTTACAGTTGTTATGATCCCGTCCTGCCTCGTCTGGCCATCTCAAGGGGGAAGGGCCTAGCGAGCCAGACTTCTCCAACCTGAGATAAGGCTCCGCTCAAGTTCCCAGTGCAGGGAGTGGGAAGGGGGATCGTTTCCTGGCCCCCAGTCAAAGCTCCCTGCCCTCGCCCTGACCCTTTCTGAAAACCGTGTGGCCAGATCAGTGAGCAGCAACCAAGACTAGTGAGTGGCCACATGGGTGTCCCTCCTCTATCTCAGTGGGTCGCAAGATTGTGGTACCCAAGACGCTCTGCTGGGATAGGGCGGTTTTGCTCACTGCGCTTGTGCACCTAGAAGTGGCGGGGGGTGCTGAGTGAACCGGAGCTGCGCTCTGATTGGCTGCAGAGGGAGCGCGCGGGTCTCTGTGTGCCACTAGCATGCCCCTCCCATCACATGCCCTGGCTTTACACGCGCACCACTTTAGTAACACTGTCAGGGGAAAAAAAACTCTGTAGACAAAACCCAGTGGGATCTGACCACTCTGCACGTGGGCAACGGCAAACAAAATGTCTCATGGGCCACACACAGAACCCCGATGGGCCACATGTGGCCCTCGGGTCACAGGTTGCCCACCACTGACTTAGAGCCATCAACTGACCCATTCCCGGCCCTCCACCCTACTCCCCACATGCTGCATTCTCCCCACCAGCCTGGAGGGCCATTATAGGAAACAAGTTCTCTTGCCTTTCACGGTCACCGAGATGCCCATGGCGGCTTCCCTCAGGGAGTTCCTCTTCTTCCACTTGCCCTCATCTATGTTGTACATTTCCACTATCTTCAAGGGCATCTGGTTCATCCCGACCCCTCCGATCACCATGATCCGCTTGCCCAAGGTGGCCACGGCTACCCCGGCCCGGGCCGTGGGCATGGGAGGAAGAGAATTCCACTGGTTGGCTTCGGGGGAGTAAACCTCAAAGCAGTTCATGGGCACCCCGTTGTCGTCACAGCCCCCGATGGCAAAGACCTGGCCGCCTGCCTCCACCAGCGAGCAGTAGACCCTGCAGCTGGGAAGGGGCGCGAGGGTTTTCCACTCGAAGTCTTTGGTACCGGGGACATCCATCGTGGATGGTCAGGGATGAGGCAGCATCTGTCCTGCCTGCCCGGGGCTGGCTAAGCTGCAAAACACAGCCACAGAAAAGCATCACGCATACAGGCAAAACAAACGGAGGAACGTACAGAGAAATCCCCACCCCCCACCAGAGATCCAGGCAGCCCGGAGCATAGACGCCCTTTAATGAGCAAAGCATCTATTTCCACACCAACAATGAGAGGTCCCATGTCCCTCACAGAGAAAAAGAGAGAGAGAGAGAGAGAGAGAGAGAGAAGCAGGAGCCGGTACCTTTCATCATGTCTCCATTAATTCTGCAGTTGCACATTTTCCAGAGCAGCCTCAGAGCCCGGTCCTAAAAATAAAAGGCACAGGTTGGATTCCGCTTGCTCTCCCCTTTTCTAAGCACCCCTCCCCCTACAAGGCATTCCAACCAAGAATGCTGCAAGCTGTCAGCTCTCCAGCACCGGGCTTTCTTGGCTCACTAGGAACTTTTCTTTGTTTAGTTCTTTGTGGGCAAAATTATTATGAATGCCCGTGGTCCACCTCTTCCCAAACCCCGGGGGAAAGCTGCCATGAGACCGCCTGCGGGGAAAAGCAAAAGGCTGGGGTGCAGGGACCAACCCTTCGGCCGCAGCTCACTGACTCAGTTACTTGCAGCATTACAGCTGAGCTGCAAAAGATCCAAAAAGCAGCCCTGTCGGACAGAGTGAGGGTCCCAAGCGCCCATAGGAAACCAGGGTGAGAGAGGGGGAAAAATCCCTGAGCAGCTGTCAAACCTTCAGAGGAACCGAACAAATAAAGAGCGACGGAGAGAGCAGGCACACAAAAGGGCATCGAGAGAGCAGGCAACCACCCCCATTCTCACACCCATGTATAAATAGGTGTGTAAGTCACAGTGAGAAACTCAGCCTTCACTCATTATGTAACCAGGGCAGCTTGCAAGTTTATCTTAAAAAGTAAAGTATGATGTATACATCCCATCACTCTGGCTCTCTCTGAAAGTCAAACACACTGGAGGTTTATTACTCTTTCTGGGGAACCCTTCCCCCACCTGACATTGTAATGATCTGTACTTACCCTTAATAGCACTTTCCAGGTGTGGCTCTCCAAGTGCCTTCACAAAGGAACACTATCCCCATTTGAAAGAGGGATGCAGAGAGAAGCAACATGCCCAAGGTCACATGGTGAGTCAGTGTCAGAGCTGGGGAAAGAATCCCGGAATCCAGACTCCCAGAGCGCAGGGCAGACTTGGTGCCCTCTTCCTCTGGAGCTTCTGATATCTTGATGAACGTGAACTTCAGCCTGAGCCTGCTCCTCTCCGCTGTTCTGTTGTAGAGACGCTAACGCCCATCACCTCTCCTCAGCCTTCTGGTTAAGACTCAACATGGTGTCCATTTAACCCTCTGAGACCAAGGCTCCTCTAGTGGGGAACACTCTCTCTTGTTTGGGGTGGGCGAGGGGATAGACTCAATGGCCTAATACCACTTTTCCACCTATGATCCTATTTCAAAGGTAATATAAAGGCCCCACAAGCCCTAAACCCAAGCAAAGCCAACAACTGGGGGTGGTCCCAGCTTTTTAGGGGCGAGCTGGCTTTTAGGGGCAAAGGCAAGAACAGGGGGAGAGGAAACAACTTGCTTCCAGACACCCCTGTGCGCCCCATTCTTGCACTTGAGCTCACATCACTACTTGCAGATCATTGGTCGGACTAGGAGAGGGTCCAGTGGAGGGCAACCAAAATGATTTGGGGGCTGGAGTGTATGACCTATGAAGAGAGGCTGAGGGATCTGGGTTTGTTTAGTCTGCAGAAGAGAAGAGTGAGGGGGGATTTGATAGCAGCCTTCAACTTCCTGAAGGGAGGTTCCAAAGAGGATGGAGAGAGGCTGTTCTCAGTAGTGAGGGATGGCAGAACAAGGAGCAATGATCTCAAGTTGTGGTGGGAGAGGTCCAGGTTGGATATTAGGAAAAACTATTTCCCTAGGAGGGTGGGGAAGCACTGGGCTGGGTTCCCTAGGGATGGGGTGGAGTCTCCATCCCTAGAGGTTTTTAAGTCTCGGCTTGACAAAGCCCTGGCTGGGGCGATTTAGTTAGGATTGGTCCTGCCTTGGGCAGAGGGCTGGACTTGACCTTCTGAGGTCTCTTCCAGTTCTATGATTCTAGGAGCCATCACTGAACTCCAGAGGAGATATGCTCCTGCTACCCCACAACGCCTCTCATCCCACACCTGGCATTGCTCTCTAAAGGTACGTCTACACTGCGAGTTTTCTTGGCAAAAAATACACTAATGAGGGACTCATTTGCATGACTCACAATCTAATTTGCATATTTTCTGCCTATCCATTTTTGCTCTAGGGCTTTTTGCGCAAAAACAAGCCGTGTGGACATTTTCTTTTTGTGCAAACTCCCCTATTTCCACAACATCAGTACACCTCCTTTTGGGGGGCATAAGGATCTTGCAGAAAAAGGGGGTTTTGTGCATAAAGCAAATGTCCACACTGCTTGTTTTTGTGCAAAAAGCCCTAGCGCAAAAAAGGGATCGTCAGAAAATATGCAAATGAGATCACAACTCATGCAAATGAGTCCCTCATTAGCATATTTTTTGCTGAGAAAACTCATAGTGTAGATGTACTTTAAGGGTACGTCTACACAGCTGGGCTAAAGTCGGAGAAAGCTATGCAACTTCAGCGACGTCAACTGCGTAGCTGAAGTCAAAATAGCTTTTGGCGCTGTCTACACAGCAGGAAGTCGAAGGGAGAACACTCTGTCTCTGACTTCCCTTACTCCTCGTGAAATGAGGGTTACCAGGAATCGGAGTAAGAAGTCCTCCAGCTTGACATTATTTCAAAATAAAGGCTTGTAGTGTAGACGTGCACTATGTTACTTCGGAATTACATCAGTTACTCCGAAATAACGCTGCTGTGTAGACGTACCTTAAGGCGCCAGACCTCCTACATTAGACTCCCAGACAGTCCCTGGTGGTTTCCGGGGCGACGAGGCCGTCCCCCCACACAGAAAGGGCAGAAAGCACATACTCCTCCAGTCCCGGCTGCATTGCTTCAGAACCTTTTGACAGCCAGAGCAGATTGAGAGAGCCTGTAACCTAGCAACAGCCACCTACAACTCCCTTTAATCACCCATCATTTCAGATCCACGTTGGTATCTTGATGGGTTCACTGAACCGCGCTGTGGCGCATGAGCAAACTCGGCCCTGAAGGAAAGACAGACCAATGGTTTTAGTGCTGAAAGGACCAGGCTGAGGGGTTTGATCAGAGGGGTCCCCTTGGAATTGCCCCCAGTGTGCTGGTCAAGCCAGTAACACCTGCCTTCTTGCTCTGTGGAACACTCCTCCACCAGGCCCCTTTAGGCCAGAAGCTCTGGTCTCCCCAGTCCAGGCACAGAGTTGGGGTTACCACCTCCCCCAATGCCAGTAGAGCAACACAGACGCTGAACGGGCTCAGCTCTGGGAGGGCTCAGCTATAAAGCAACTGACAGAACCCAACCTCCCAAAAAGGATCAAACCCTACATCAATCTGTCTTACTCTGGATAAAAGATTTACAGAGAGAAAGCTCACGTCTGGTCTCCCCAGTCCAGGCACAGAGTTGGGGTTACCACCTCCCCCAATGCCAGTAGAGCAACACAGACGCTGAACGGGCTCAGCTCTGGGAGGGCTCAGCTATAAAGCAACTGACAGAACCCAACCTCCCAAAAAGGATCAAACCCTACATCAATCTGTCTTACTCTGGATAAAAGATTTACAGAGAGAAAGCTCACGAGGTCAGCTCCCTTTCACAATGAAAGAGAGACTCTCCTCAGCCTTCTGGTTAAGACTCAACATGGTGTCCATTTAACCCTCTGAGACCAAGGCTCCTCTAGTGGGGAACACTCTCTCTTGTTTGGGGTGGGCGAGGGGATAGACTCAATGGCCTAATACCACTTTTCCACCTATGATCCTATTTCAAAGGTAATATAAAGGCCCCACAAGCCCTAAACCCAAGCAAAGCCAACAACTGGGGGTGGTCCCAGCTTTTTAGGGGCGAGCTGGCTTTTAGGGGCAAAGGCAAGAACAGGGGGAGAGGAAACAACTTGCTTCCAGACACCCCTGTGCGCCCCATTCTTGCACTTGAGCTCACATCACTACTTGCAGATCATTGGTCGGACTAGGAGAGGGTCCAGTGGAGGGCAACCAAAATGATTTGGGGGCTGGAGTGTATGACCTATGAAGAGAGGCTGAGGGATCTGGGTTTGTTTAGTCTGCAGAAGAGAAGAGTGAGGGGGGATTTGATAGCAGCCTTCAACTTCCTGAAGGGAGGTTCCAAAGAGGATGGAGAGAGGCTGTTCTCAGTAGTGAGGGATGGCAGAACAAGGAGCAATGATCTCAAGTTGTGGTGGGAGAGGTCCAGGTTGGATATTAGGAAAAACTATTTCCCTAGGAGGGTGGGGAAGCACTGGGCTGGGTTCCCTAGGGATGGGGTGGAGTCTCCATCCCTAGAGGTTTTTAAGTCTCGGCTTGACAAAGCCCTGGCTGGGTCGATTTAGTTAGGATTGGTCCTGCCTTGGGCAGAGGGCTGGACTTGACCTTCTGAGGTCTCTTCCAGTTCTATGATTCTAGGAGCCATCACTGAACTCCAGAGGAGATATGCTCCTGCTACCCCACAACGCCTCTCATCCCACACCTGGCATTGCTCTCTAAAGGTACGTCTACACTGCGAGTTTTCTTGGCAAAAAATACACTAATGAGGGACTCATTTGCATGACTCACAATCTAATTTGCATATTTTCTGCCTATCCATTTTTGCTCTAGGGCTTTTTGCGCAAAAACAAGCCGTGTGGACATTTTCTTTTTGTGCAAACTCCCCTATTTCCACAACATCAGTACACCTCCTTTTGGGGGGCATAAGGATCTTGCAGAAAAAGGGGGTTTTGTGCATAAAGCAAATGTCCACACTGCTTGTTTTTGTGCAAAAAGCCCTAGCGCAAAAAAGGGATCGTCAGAAAATATGCAAATGAGATCACAACTCATGCAAATGAGTCCCTCATTAGCATATTTTTTGCTGAGAAAACTCATAGTGTAGATGTACTTTAAGGGTACGTCTACACAGCTGGGCTAAAGTCGGAGAAAGCTATGCAACTTCAGCGACGTCAACTGCGTAGCTGAAGTCAAAATAGCTTTTGGCGCTGTCTACACAGCAGGAAGTCGAAGGGAGAACACTCTGCCTCTGACTTCCCTTACTCCTCGTGAAATGAGGGTTACCAGGAATCGGAGTAAGAAGTCCTCCAGCTTGACATTATTTCAAAATAAAGGCTTGTAGTGTAGACGTGCACTATGTTACTTCGGAATTACATCAGTTACT